CGTTCCGCGCATTACTCAGCGTGGGCTAGTGAAGCAGGTACTTGTTGTTCTTCCACAATTATTACTTCCTGAAATTGATTACTGCTCGTAAACACCACTGAGAACACAAAACTGTGTTCTAAGGTCAAGTCGACTTGACCTGATCAATATCGCGGTTTGTATGATTTCATATCGAGCTCGATGTGTACACATCATGTATATGCGCATACGTGTACATTTGCATGTATAATGTATATTGGTGTGCACATTAGTTGCAGTTGATATGTACATTGAATTTCAAAACGTCCCAATATTGCCTTTTTATGCAATTTTTAATGGAATTGTCCAATTTGCTCCTCATTTATTCTCTTTGCTGTAGGAATACTTGAAAACATTTTGTAGATGATCCACCCAAGTCACTGTGAATAACTATTTAACTGATAAGAACAAATTTGTCTGAACTTACCCCTGAACATTTACTGGAAGCAAGGGAATGCTCCAGAGCTTATGAGCTCTATTGGTAATTATAAAAATAAGATAAGTGGAAATGATACTTTTCACTTTCACTTAATTCGTTTCTTACCATTCCTTATCATTGGATAAGAAAAATAATTAGTCGTCCTATGTAGGACAAATAATTAAAACTACTTTTCGAATGTGTGCATCACTTGGCGCATTTGAATGTCAATTATAGATTGACACTCAGTCTGAGTATTATGTAACATCCTTCCGAGTGCACTCAGAATCAACTTCCATGGAAGTCCATTTTAACCTTGAATTACTGACCGGTCACTTCACTATCGATGGCAGCTGGTTGCAGCTTGCACCTTAGGAAAGTCGTTAATGTCTTTTGCAAAGCACATTTGAACGGTAAAACTTTATGTAACTCCGTTTTCCGCTCACGTCCAAACGACTGATTGATACCGCAAGGCCAGGTATCGTTTACTCTGGCTTGAATTGCTGGATAATCGGGATTTAGTTGTTGGGTTGCCTCTCAGGGGCGAACATGGCAGAGGGTGTGAAGTGTCGCTTTTTGATGCGTAAAATTTTAGAGTTCTAATTTCATAAAATATTTAGTAAAATAAGAAAGAGGAATAGACACTTCTTATCAATAACCACCCCCAACCGATGCGTATACAGTGCTTTCGGGACTGAAGCACCTTTGACGATTTATCATGATCTCGGGGTTCCTATCCGGATAGCCTAACGCGACCCATATGGCCGAGTCTTCTGGTTAAGGTTTTATGTTCTCAGGCTAAGTCTTAATTTGGTCGCCCTTGATCTATTTCCATGCCTACGGAAACGACGCGTACCGTGGCAATCTATTCCACGGCATGTGCAGCGCATCTCAACCAGCGTGATCTATAGAGGTCAGCCACTTGCTCCATCGGACGATCGCGGTCAACTAAAGCTCTGCGTCCAACCAGTTTTCCCACCAGACTCTTGCCGTGTGGCGTAGCCAGTGGTGTGAAAACGCCAACAGTCTCGAAGAGGTAAGTATAGTTGGTCTGTACGCTCTGTTGACCATATTGGTTCGCTTTCCCTTTCTCCTCAAGTCAGGTCCATTCCCTGCACACCTTAGTGCACTTAGTGTATATTGTGAACTCCACAGCGATTAACGCATTTCGCTTCACTGTATATCGCTGCACGACGATGATTGATTCATGGATGTTGACTGTGACGAATTAGGTAGACGAAAGCAAGTAACCAAAATCAGCCAAGGTCAGTGATGGTTCAAACTGAAGGTGACGTTTTCTCAAAAACATTGAACATGGTCAAATTATATATCTATATAATGGTCTGTCAATATTTTTTCGAAATCCTTTTAGACTTCACGGATTGTGTTGTTCAGGAACCCGATTCACGGCACTTACTTCCAACATGGATTATTGCTGCAATAGGAGAAATCACGAGCGTGCAAGGTAAGGCTTTTCAGACATTTCTTACTCGCAGAGTCACTGCGGGGTTCCGATTCATTTTCTTATTCTTGAGGCTCGTTTTTCGAGCACTGAGAAACAAATGGATTGAAGCGGCAATGCTAGTTATATTCGTACTTGTTACTCAGGGATTCTGTGAGTTGCCCCTCTGTTCTTACGAACCTCATTGAATTTTTTCAAGATGAATATACGGCATATCAAGTTGGTCTGTTATCTTCACAGTTTTATTCCGCACTCTTATCTCGGTGCTACCCGTACTACGACCAGACCGTGCGGTTTGGTGTCTTGTTTGTGGGTGGTATTTGCACGGTACATCGCATAATTCAATAAAAAATCATGTTTGAAATCAGATAAAAGGTGTGGCAACTCTAGTCAACGGTCATTTGGCATTGCTACTTCGTACAGCGGTGACAGAACGCATGCACAACTTGTACTTCCGGAATAAGAATTTCTTCACTGTGAATCAACTAATGGATTTGGATAATCCGTGAGTTTATCACTAATCACTTGTTGGATAGTGATTTTTTTCAGGGACCAACGTCTTACTCAAGATATCGGAACCTCGTGCACTCTTGTCTCCGACATTCTACCGTTGTTTTTGATCAATCCTATTCTGGTGGTAGTGTACACATATCTATGTGTCAATAAGTATGTCCGCTGTTTTGTGTAAACATTAACCGTCACCAACGTAGGGCTGGTTGGTTGGGTCCGATTGCGGCCTACATCATGTTTGTGATTTATGCTATCATCACGCACTTCGTTACTGGTTNACTTCGAAGGCGATATACGAACACGATCGGCAGGAGGGCAACTTCCGGTAGGTGACGTAATTTCTCTATCTGCAAAGTATTTTCATTCACTTCAATTTTTGATCCTACTTTTACTAGATAACTATTTTCCACTTTTTGCAGCTGTTTGTAATGGGCGCGAAGCCAAATTTCTCTGCCCTTTAATTTTATTGAAAATTATTTTTCACTGTACATTTCTTTCAGATATACATTAATAAGCAAACATTCGGGCAGTATTCGGTGATGTATTTTCAAATCATATGTACTTTATTTATGCTCTGGAGAAAATTTCTAAGACTAGTGGGACTCGCAACTAGAAAACAAAC